ATTCATTAAATATGGAATGCAAATGGTGTAGTGTTATAGAACAAATCTTGATTTAATTAAGGGCCATCCATCATTTTCCTCATTTCACGAGCGTACAAACAGTATGGGAGGGGGTTAAAGACTTTGTTTTCTGAATATGAAGCATGATGATCCGTCAACGTGCGAATAGAGCCTGAAAATACAAGCGAGCTCCCGGAATCCTCGCGCGGTCATACTATGGAAATTTTACATTGGGCCGTCCTGTCACGCTTGATAATTTTTGGAAGAATAATTCCTTACTGAGACCACCCCATGAAACACTCATGTTGGAATTTTACCTTTGTCTTCTTCAAGTAATATTTAGGAAAAGTCACCTGGAGATGGGTTAAAAACAAATTTTCTTAACGACTTTTCACGTCCGGCGATATCGTAGGTCTCTATGTTAATGCACGTTTATTTTCACTGCTCGTGCTTACTGTGAAAACGAGATTTTACAACGTTGCAAAGATTTACCTACTTGCAGTCGATGGGTTCCAGATTCTTCCGGTGGTGGATGGTTAAGACGTCTGCGCTAGTAAGCAGGAAGTCGTGGGTTCGAATCCCACCCCAAGTACGCTTGTGGTTTTTTCATAAGCCTTCGGGGGGCATACACTGAGCTTTGCAGTTTTAAAAATACACGCCGGGCAGGGCTAAATCCAAAATTAATTTACCTTTCCCCGGCGCAAATCCATCTTTGAAACAGATTCTGTGGAGTTGACATCACGCAGTTGTTGTCGGCAAAGTTTAGATAGAAGATTAGAATCTTTCGTAATTGAAGTAGAATGTTGCTTTAATTTTATTACTTATTAAAAAATTATTATAAGACAGTGTAAAATATAGTAATCTGTTTTTATTTCGGCTTTTACCAATGGACTACCATAAAATGTCAAAACGTAAATGCTCATCTGCTTACAAGACTGCCTCATTGCACTGTTCTTCATGTATTTTAGATTTTCGGAAGTGATGGGTCAATTTCTGGCAGGATATTTCTCTCTTACGTCAGGTTATTTTTCAGTTTCTATAAATTGATTTGATACACGAGCAAATATTCTCCAAAGCCCCTTTTCTGAGTTTGATTTTTAAGAAGTAACTGAACGAAAAAATATTACAAATTCTAAAATCTGTGCACATTATTTTTCCTATCCAACGGTTCCGGAAGCGCGCCATCAGGGGTAAACTTCAGGCTCTACCGGCGATCACTTTCAAATTTCGCGAGTGTTGCCATAGCTAGCTCCACACCGCTCTCTTCAATTTCTATGTTTTCTTAGACCTTACAAAGCAAGGTTATGGCTAACAGCAAACCTGTCATAACAGAAGTTGAATTTGGCACGGGCACGCAAAATTGCACTAACTGACCACTCCACAAATAAATTTATAATAAATATGCACGCATGCGAATAAAAACGAACACCGGTACATGGCATTGGTTATTTTTGTCTCACTTTCGCCGATTTTGTTTTCCACTTTTGCTTCAAACCGTCTAAGATTGTCGGAGCTATTACTCTCCAGTCTAGGTGGGTTTTCTGATGTTTAAAAAAGACCTTTTAAACATCGCTTTCATGCCTGTAGCAGTTATGACGATTTGAGGGGGATTTCGGAACATAAAAATGAACAATCTCAGAGAATTTGAGAGAAAAATGGCATGGAAATATTCCTTCAATGCGTCGCTCATGGCGTGTGTGTGCTTAACTTGTGGGGGTTTTTAGGAAAAAGTTCCATACTCGGGCTCCACAACATAATTCAGGCTCGCTCAAGGAATAGGTAGACAGCCTAGGTCAGGGCCATATCGAAGTGATTTCGAACTTCAACCTTAGATGTTGTCGGCAGAAACAATCTTGGAAAAAATCCCATACATCAAGGAGAGCCCATTCTAAGGCCCCACTTGCATCATTTGCAATTAATCTTACTATACGCATGGCGCATTCGCGGCCCTCGGGTTTCCCTTTGATGCTATATTCTCGATTTCCAAAGTAACCGAATTAACTCAGTATTGGTTTTTCCTTGAAGTCAGGTCATAATGGGTCGCGAATAAACGGGAGAATAATTGGCTCTGTAAAAGATTGCTCAACAGTGAATAGACAAATACGACCTTGTGAAGACTGATGTAATAACAAGGCAAAATTTCCCGAAGTGACCTAACTGTGAGTCATAATATGGTGGATTTTGGTCCCGCTTTGACGTGCCTGAAATTTAATTAAGTAAATGTAGAATTTTTGATGATTCGAAGAAAAAATCAAGGGGAGTAGCCCAGGTTGAGTTTGCTCGACACAATAAGTGAAGCGAAAAAGAATTAAAAAAAAATCACAATATCTAATCGATCTCAAGAACGTTCTACATTAACCCGTGCCTCTGGTGACCTGTGTGGCGTCGTCTCTTTTCACTTTCAGAAAATTAAGACGAGACGCAGAAATTAGAGGCAGGGCGTGGCAAATAAAGTGGGAGGACCTGCAAGTGCAAAGTGACGACGTGCGGGGACGCAGAGCCTCCTCGTTTTCCCTTGTAAGTTTCTGCAGCTGAAGACATGGAGAGATGACACCCGTTGACAATTCCATGTTACAAGTGTTTGGAAAAAATTGGGTCGTACACGTGTAAAAGCCAATGTGGACAAAAATCCGCCCATCGTTGTTATTATTGTTGCCTTCGCCTAGTAACGGTATTAGACACAACAGTAATAATTTTCCAACCTTGAGTGGCTTCTAAGACTGTTGCGAAGATGATTTGGTTTTCCTGATTCAATTAGGCGAGGTTTGCCTTCGGTCTGTCTTTTGTCTGGCCTTGCATCTGAATGCTGCAGGCAAATAACAGTAGAGAGGAGTCACGTTTCAAGTTGTGTCTGTCGATGTTCCCTCACTTTATACGCATTGTTCCGGTCGTACGTTTGTCATGGTGTGACGTTGTCTTGGATATCAATATGTGCCGTTGTCATGGAAGCCACTGTTTCTTATTTTTCTCATTAGGGAAGTGTTTCGTTAAAAACTGAAGAAGAGAAACAAATATTCACCCAAACAGCTTTTTATCAGGTGAGTTCCAGAAGTAAAGCGGGCGATCAAGCACGCCGCAGTGAGTTAGTAAAACAATGAGCAAGCAAAGTATAAACGGAAAACTGCTTGATAGAAAGGTATCTACAACGCATGAAAAGCGTATCTGCGGTATGGATAGTCTGTGCATGATTGCAGAAAATAGCGGTTTGCTCTTTTTGTCCCTCGATTGCATGGCACATTATAGCCTCGATGTGATTATTCCAGGATGGAAAGGAACTTTCTATCTTACCATTTCAATTAAAAACATGCATTATTGAATACATCATTATTAATTAATCTACCAATGAAGTAAAGTTTGACACAAGTGGCTCTATCCGCCCCAAGCTGAAGTGCACCCCTAATCGGCAAAAAGAAAGACGTTGGTACAAGCGGGTTCTTGCACGCTTCTGCGTGTACGCAAAGACCGTACTTGCCGGCCGCACATAAACTTGCGTGCCTGATGGCGCGCCTATGCGGTACCAAAAATCACGCCCCTCTTTTCTCCCGCTTGGAGCGGATTACAAACACTTCTCATTGGTACAGTTTTGTTTTTTTACATAATTATTTGGGGAAAGCAATCAAAACTGTTCGTTACGGTTATACCCTTAGTCATTTTCAACAGAATGACTGAATTAATGAGACATATTGGGATAGGAGAATAAGCCTTTTGCGAGTTAAATTTAAATAAAATCTGGTACACTGACTTCTTTAAATTCACGTGAACATAACGATTTGAATTCTCCATACTAAAGACACTGTCGCTATACCTCGTTATACCCAGCAAGAAATGAGACCGAGGGGTACCCCCCCCACATGTCCAGTCCCCATACACATTCCAGACTATTGTTACTATTGACCAACACAAAGCAGGGGGGTTCTCTCCGTCTCATACCTTGCTGCNATATGACGTATAGCGTCTTTAATCTGGGGAATTCAAACTGTTATGTTTACGTGCAATCAGATAACTCAGTGTGCCAGATTTTATTCAAATTGACTCGCAAAAGGCTTATGAAACCAAGCTGCTACAAAGGCTTCTGGGTACTTCGACTAAGAAGTAGTATATGGGCGACAATGGTCGGCATGCAAGAAATCCTCACATTTGTAAATAGGACCCCAGCAGAACTGAACTGTAATCCAAATCGATTTCCTGTAGCTTATTTGAAGAAAATACCGGGCCCTTTCAGCGCATTTTCTTGTACGTATTTTCAGCTTTCTGTACCCATTATTCAATTTCCGGGTACTCGTCAGACACCCTTGTTTCTCAGGATTAATTTCCCCATTTCTGTGTTATATCTCCATTTTTTTCCTGAACGCGGAAACGAACTAAATCGCTTATGTCTCAATCGCTACTGTCAACAGGGTCGAACTGTTGCTGTTAAGAAGATCTCACTTGATCACGTGACGTTGGAAAGAAACACCCTCATCGAGTTGAAAAACGTAAGCAAAATTTAGAGGAAAAAACCACAGTTGAGATGTTTAAGACAGGCATTAACTCTCAGTAGATTTTAATTTCTTGGATGGGTAAAATCTTGCGTCTGCTGAATCGACGGTTTACTTGATCACTGTTTCCCTTTTTGAATGAAAAGTGCTGGATTCGTAAAGTTATTCCTTGTATGGTTAAGATGAAGAGCGGAAGTAATATTTGCCAATCTGCTGTATCTGAATCTTCTTTTTCATGGCTATGTTATACGCACCAGTGGGAGGGTGACTCACTGTGAGTCACGCTGTTAATTAGGTAAATAGGGAAACTATACATAGGGTGCGTTCGATTAGCTTCCCTGAATAAAGCAGTGTCACACTCAAGGGAACCCTAACCGAACGCTGCAGTGTACTCGCCAAAGCAGTCTGGGAAAAGGGTCAAGTCCCCGCCACATTCCATCATGTACGTCCATGCACGAACAGTCCTTACGTGACGTCATTACACTCGGGCAGTCTCCGGAGACCCGCTCACCGGCCGAGGTAGTAGTGGCGGGGCAGGTACGAGGATCACGTGTTAGCTAATCGAACGCACCCAGTGTATTTTTTCTGTTTCTATATCTTCCTTTCATCAATGTTTTGTCAAATCAATACAATTCAAAAGGGTATCCCAGCCAAAAAACCTCACCGCTGCAGCTGTGCCATCTAATGCCATCCAAACACAACAATAATACGCCTGGCATGACTCATTCACAGGGGTCGTTATGGAGGACGAAGAGTGGCCATCTGCTTTTCTGCTATCAGAATTGTCGAAAAGCAAATTTTATGTTTTTGTAACATGCAATTTTCGGCTTTTCTGCCACCTCAAAAGCAGAACGAACATAGTTTGGTTATGCATTCTTCTATTTTTCTGCTTTCTGCTTTCACTGGCGGCCGAAAGGTGGCCGTCTGCTTTTCTCCTTTCGAACATGCAGAAAGGAGGATCGGACGTTTTCACAACAACCGTGAATTCTACTTTTCTGTTTTTTTTTTAATGCCAGAGAAGCAGTTTTCACATGACCGGCCGAAAAATGGCTATCTGCTTTTCTGCCTTCCAAGTGCCGTGTACGGGGACGTGAGCCTCAGATTATGTCCATTTACTTTCAAGGGGGCTGAAGATGTATAAACCAATAATTACAGCCCACACTATGTTTTGTAACGAAAGATTCACGTTTTCCATGGCCAAAGTAAGCTAGTGTGTCTAATGTGTAATAGCTTTAAAAACTGCTCTGGTATGTTTCCTTCGAGATGCTGTTTTCTCGGCCTCTAAGGGACACTGATACTGTCGTGTCGGATTGGTTCCCAGAAAGCATGGTTATGTATTGGTTTCCACGTCTTCACTCCCCTAGAACGGAAATGGTCGTAACCTACAGCTTATGATCCCATGCACGGCCCATTGAGGACAGAAAAGCACGTGGCCACTTCTCGGCCACCAATGCAAAATCAGCTTCTCCGGCATCAAAAAAGCAGAAAAGTTGAATTTACAGTTGTTTAATCCACTTTCCTGCTTGTTTAACTGGTTAAAAGCAGGTAGCCACTTTTCAGCCGCCAGCAAAAGAGGAAAAGGAAAACTGCTTTTGTAGTAGTAGAAAAGTCAAAAATGCATTGCAATAAAATATTCATTCTGCTTTTGAGGTATCAGAAATGTAGAAAAGTTGAAAATAGAATGTTACAAAGACGTAAAATCTGCTTTTCTACTATTTTGATAGCAGAAAAGCAGATGGCCAGTTTTCGTCCTCCATAATTAATAAACCTCGCTCCAGTATGGAATTCCATATCTGCCGTCGTGCGTCGGACGACGCACGACGGGCGACACACGACGGACGACGCACGACGGTCGACGCACGATGGGCGACGCACGACGGACGACGCACGACGGACGACGCACGACGGAAAATGGTAAATGGCAGAATTGGGACACAACAAAAAGCAAAATGCGACGGACGACGGGCGACGGCAGATATGGAATTCCATACTCCAGACTTGTTTACACTGTGTGGAGAGTCACAAAGCATTCAGTCCTGGGCTCTGGCAGTCATCCAGGGCAGTGAAATGACTCCACAGTGGCCTGCTACACTGTCACAAGGGGGAGGGACACTTTTGTACACAAACACATGGGAGCGCTGGGGAGTGGCTATTTTCCCGCCAAATTTGTGGCAATACCACACTGACCCAGTGGGTGAAACCCCCTCTAAAAGGAGTGGCTGGGTCCAACTTACAAAGCCAGGAAGCTGCTGCGTTGGATTGTTGTTATGTGATACAAATAACGCGATTGTGCCTCAGCTTGAGCCACGCTCACTCATCGGAGGGTTTTAATTAATTTATATTTGTGTACTAATTAAATAAAAACTAACTGTAACAGATTTAAGGAGAAAAAATATATAATGAATATTATTTCAATTTTTTTTCTTTTCTATCAAATTTGAGTCACCTGGTTTTTCTGATTTTGTTTCTAGAAATAAAAAGTCTTTTTTTCTCTCTTTAATACTTCTCTCGTCAGATGCGGGATCTAGAGCACCCGAACTTGGCGAGGTTTTTTGGAATGTGCCTAGACGTTCCTAATGTGGCCATCATAAATGAGTACTGTCCAAAAGGGAGCTTGATGGTATGCTATTAGAGAAATTCCAAGCTCTGGGTTATTTACTAAAAGTGATGATGCTGATCACCCGATGAAACACCGTCGTGCAAAGTCGCGATTCCAGAAAGAAATTTGTCGAACCTGGGGCTTTCTTTTGGCTTTTAGTACACCTTTTGTGGCCTTTCTACAAAGAGAGGCCAACTTGTGGGGCTTTTTACACACTTTTGGTAGGAAGGGAAATGAAATCGTTCATAAGAATGTATGTAGCTTTTTCTCATCATTATTCAGGGCCCCAAGTGTCCCAACCCTGCATCCCGAAACGCTGGGGTGGAGTGTTACAGGATTTACTGTGATTTTTTATTATACGCTGTATGTCATCCAGGGAAGATTTGGATCCGTACATGAATTTCATTTGAAGAATGTATTGATTGGAGTTAAGCGTTTGCACTTAAGAATGTTTTAGCTTAGTTCACTTTGAAGACGAATTGTGGAAGATTTTGCAATGAAATTATCCTATGAGGTCACCTTTTCAGATAAGCATGCGTCAGTGAATTATATAGGCCTAGGCTAGTGCTGTTCAGCCGATGCTGCTATTCGTTACCTTTGATCAGTAGTATCAAAGTAGCGACACGAGTGGTAGATATCAATTTTTCAACACTGTCAACGGTTTTCATATTCAGATAAAGTTTAGCTTAAATTTTATGAAGCTAACTATATGGTCATGTGATGCATAACTAATGTATTAAATTAAAATGTGTTAAATACTCTTGAAATTTCTAAGACAGGAAATTAAGGTCAGAAAGACTCTGGCCAGGCGCGGTTTGACCGGGGTGTGGGGGCTTGAGGCTTAAGGCCGCCATACTTTTGTCTAGCCCCCCCGGAAAAAGGTCTGGCAAATATTACACTGGCTACTGTTACGGATCAAATACTTGAAGTACAGGCTGTACATGTATATTTTTTGACACCCAAAGTTAAAGAGCAGGTGATTTCACGTGCGAAGGGTCTAGCCCCGTCCCCCCCCCACGCGTGCCTGCCTCTGGCATAAATGGTCAGATAAAATGATGGCCCGCCGTTCCAAAACGACACTGACGAATTGTAAGATTCTACATGCTTCTTTAAAATGATACAGTGTACATCATTCATAAATACCTGGGACAGTTTTTCTGTTCTAGATATCGAAACAGCATCCGTGTAATAACATGTGATAATGCCGGCTGGGTAGTGGTAATGCCCGCTGCGTAAATCACGCCGACATAATCGGCGACTAGCTCGCCGATGTGCACGCGACTCGCTCGGGAAAATGAAAGTAAAAGTTTATTACAAAATGGTTGGAAATCCATCACATGTTGACTTCTTTTGATTTTCTTAATTAATCAAAAGGTATTGATGAATGGGAATACAAATAAACGTTTAAGACCTTGCTCAGGAGAACGAACGCTGATAATGCCTCGCCTACCAGGGTCAAGCATTAGTCGCGTCCGTTCTCCTGAGCCGGTCTTAAACGCCAATGCCATCCTTTATAGGCCTCCTTATGGAAAAAATGAAATTAATGAATATGACATTTTTAATTTATAAACTCATAACCAAATTAAAGACAATTCTAATGTATTTCATTACAGGACATGCTTCAGAATGACTCCATCAAGCTTGATTGGCTCTTCAAGTATTCACTAATCAGTGACGTCATCAAGGTGAAATAATATTGGACCACATACGCATTATTTATCGTTTTCGGTACCAAAATTGATCAGTGAAAACGGTAGCCGTGCACTGTGTGTTTACAAGACAACACTAACAGGTTAATACTTTATTTCACACAAGTTAGATTAGATACAGTACATCCGTCATACAGCAAAAATGTGGTGTTAAATTAGCACTCTTGATATCCCTATATATAGACAGCGGTTTTTCGGTTTTCGTGGTGTAAACTAATGGTGGTGAAAAGTGATTCAGTTTAGGCTCCTCGCAAACCGATTCAGATAGAAACGCCGAAAGGGGTCATATTTGTTCAGAAAAAGTCCTTGTTATTTTTGTCATGTACAATTCAATTGGTAAAGCCGTAGAGTTAGTCATATACCAAGACTGGCCCGCTAAAGAACCAGTTATATACTTTTCCGACTTGTGCATGATGTATTCCTCACTAATTTGATGAGTTCAACGTACACTTAGCTTTGATTCTATTTCCTGTTATCAGACTTTACCTGCCGCTGTTAATAGGGAGACATTCTCGGTAAAATAAGCAAAGAATAGGTTACTGGGCAGCACACTGTGTAGTGTCATTGACAAATAAACGTCAAGTAGGGGCCGTAAACCAGACATGCGTAAAACAATGATGAAAGGAAACGGTTAATTAGTATCTAGGACGCAATTGTTTCAAATGATGGTCGGTTAGATATTTCTTACTTTGTGTCTTCTTGTAAAATGTCAATTAAAGATTATCTCATTTTCTCCCCACATCTGTGGCGTTACGCCTTTCTTTAAGGAAACTGTGCTCAGTTCAACGCATGCGTTGTCGACGTTGATAGTGTCACTTATCAACATAACTTTGTTTTACCTAAGGCGATAATATTACTGGCTCTTTTTGTTGTGGCATTTTGTTGTATAAAACTCCCATGTTATAAACGGTCGCGAATACTGTCGGATGGGGGCCTCTGTTCAACAGCCACGACACCGGAGTCATTTATCATGGCTGGTTGATCATTTCAGGGAGTGCAGTATCTTCACCGCAGTGCGCTATCAGTCCATGGCAGACTCAACTCGTCCAACTGCCTTGTGGACAGTCGATTCGTTGTCAAGCTCATCGACTTTGGTTTGCAGTCTTTAAGAGAGGGCGCAACACAGACGTTGGGTAACCACGCTCTGATGACAAGTAAGTCATCCCCTCCAGCTTTATTGTCTGTGCCAGGGTATTACAATCTTACAGCGAGAAACCTGATATATAGTTTGCTATATCAGACTATTTTGTAACTATTTTAAAAAGTAACGGTTGTACAAAAGATACCCTACTATATGATATGCATTATGCATACGCCTGTACTTAATGTTTGGCAGACTGCCAAGCTGATTTGCAATTGCTTGTGAACTAACACTACGTTACAGGGCATTATGAATTTAAATGATTCCATGTTACTATTAAAAGAATAGATTCAGCCTTACACTTCAGAGAGGGTGACTTAAATTTTGGACATTTACTGACAGATTTTCTTGTAAGTTATTAAATACACTAAGACAACCAGACCTACAACATCAAAAATATTTAGTGTATAGTCCGACGAAGGTGTTGTCATTTCTCAGCGCCTGCGCAGTGTATGGGCTTAAAATTAGCCCTTGTCAATGAAAAATTGAAACTTTTAACCAGTGCAATTTCAGAATCTACGAAAAATCTAGGAAATTGCACTGGGCTGATTTACCCCCTTCATTTTCAGAGTCGCTCTATATTGCCCCCGAGTTACTTCGTGATCTGAAGCGAGGCCCGACAAAAGAGGGCGACATCTACAGCGTTGGGGTGATCATGAGAGAAATAGCGACCAGGGAGGGACCGTACGAAGCCGAGTTCAAAAACATGGAAGTCGGTGGTAAGCAGAAACGGTATGAGACTGACAATAAAAGTGTTAAGCAAATCCCAACCGAAAAACATGGAATAAGTGGTAAGCCGAAATGGTACCAGACTGAGAGTCACAATGTATGGCTACTGACCAAGTTCAAACCCAGGAGCATATGAAACTCGGTGGTAAGCTAATATTGTATTAGTTTGACAGTGAAAATTATTAACTAAACTTTAAGTTTAATTACGTCATTGCTCTGCAGTGAGTTGAGCTGCTTGAGACTTATTTATGGCCTTTTACCTTGATTCCTCTGCTAGAAATACTTGACAAAATCAGGTCGCCTCCAGCTGGTTTGCAACCGTTTCGCCAACGAGCAAATACCGAGAACATTGATCCTAAAATATGGGATCTGATCACAGCTTGTTGGGAAGAAGATCCTAAAGAGAGGCCCAATGCCAACTCGCTCAGAACATCCATCGACAAAATCAACAGGTAGATAAAACCATTCTATCTAAATGGAGAAAAAGGAAATAGTCATTTGATGATTTGTGTCCACTTGGAATTACATAATGCAATAAAAGCCTCCTTTGAGCCTCCTTTGGTGGGAACTGCACTTCGCTGGTTCACTAATATGAAATGCATGCGATGCGATCGCATTGCTACCAACAAAATTAGCACTCTTCGCCAACATGGCTCTTTTTATTTTTCAAGATGTATTTTTTGCGTTGGGGAGATGTTAATTATATAC